AATTCTGTAAGTTGTTGATAGACAACTTTTTCTACAATCACAAAACAATCACACTTGTTTTCTCCGGGCTTTTCCTACGCTTAGAATTCAATGTCCAAAGGTGCAGAAAAAGGTGCATAATAAGACCACATGATGCTGATGGAGCTGCACAGTGGATAAGGCTTCTGTTAGTGCTTATTGTGATAATGTTATGATCATGAAAATCTGCTTTCCCTGTTTAACAAGTCAGTTGTCAATACCGGTAGCAGAGGTTAGACTTGCATCTCTGCAAGAAAGTCCTATAGGTTTGGATCCCAGTCAGAACAGGGTCTTTCTGAGTGGAGTTAGACACATTTTCCGCTTTCCCCTACCACTAAAAACATGCCAAACAACAACATGACAGAGTCCCCACTAACATTTCAGGATGACTTGGATGCAGAGGCAATAACATATACTGTACCTTATTGCCTGTAAATACTCATTGACCATGACAGCCAATTGCACAATGACACAAAAAGTATGATATTTACAAAGATACATTCATAAAAGTATAACCTCCACTTGGGAGATAAGATTTGTGACTATGTGGTTAACAAAACATAAAACTTAACTGCGGTGAGTTCCCGGAACATGAGACAGCTTTGGCTTCCCACCGCTGCTCTTTACCCACAAGGGCTGTTGTGTGTACACTGTGGCAAAGGCATCAAAGGCGCTTGAAAGTTTCTTACAACATCAAACTTGCATATGGCATTAGTTTATTGTTCCTTAAATAAGTTAGCCTCTATCTGCTCTGCGTCCCTCTAATCTGATTTAGCATCCACCAAAGTCACACATGGGAGCAAAAACAAAAGAACCTCCCAGACATTTGCAGCGCGATGCAAAAAGCAGCACAGAAGCTTGCGTCTAATCAGATTTGGCTAGTCTCGTAAACACTATACGCTTTTTTAAGATAAAAGGGACGGTGAGGCACGGAGGACAGGCCTGGGTCTGCTTGTTGCCGTAACCTAATGGCCTTCAGACAATACGTGAATTCGCTATATGCAAAAATCCGCAGTGTTTGAAAGGCCCTGTCACTGCTCATTCTACACCAGAACGTGGACCTTCTGTTCTTGTCAAATCAGCTTTTAAAATCAACAGTTTCCAGATTTACAGGGGAAACAGCAATCAGTGAAGTCTGGCCAGCTCGCTTAAGCCACTTTGTAAAGATTAAATTTACCATATGTTTTCAACACACTCCAACTCCAGGCCCGGATTAATGGGTGTAATGTGGTCCATGCACACAGTGAGAGTCAAAAGTCCTGATTCGTTTGTATGGACTTTTTACAATATGATTTACTCGGTGCTAATGAGAGGTTCTAGTGGACGGGAAGGCGGCGGTATTTGTGTAGAGTGGTTTCAATGAGAGTATAACGTACGGCTGTCTGTCTTTAGCCATTTAGTAGATTATTTGGTTGATGGCATCTAAGTTGATAGAAAATAGTCCAGTAATTGAAAGGTGTATGTGAAAAATGCAAAAATGGTGAATTTAATGGACTTTAAGTGTTTCAAAGATAGACAATGTTGCCAAAAGTTTTGTGAGTAAAATTTTGGTATTTTCTTTCTACCCTCTGTAAGGTAATGGAGAGTCCTGGTGGCCACAAGGTCTATACTGTATATGTGTTAGAGAAATCATTTGTCCCATCTGCTGTAGCCATGCAAAAGGATTTTACAGTTTTTTGTGTTTTTATGTGATATTGGCCAAAGGGGAATTTATATTATTCTATTCCAGTACGAGCTGTAAAGCAGTGTTGTGCTATAGTATCATTATGGTATAGTTTTATGATTTAACAGAGATAATTGAAGATGTCGTTTCTCTGGATAAAAAAATAAGACAGTTATCAGCCTTTTTATTTACTGTTTATCAACCAAATAAAGAGTAGATTAATTAGAAGAATAGTATCCTCCTGTTTTTAAATGAAAGACATAAGAATTCTGCCTCAACTCTTTTCAAGTTGCACATTTTTGCGGTTGTTTTAACTAGAAATATATGCGCCTCTGGAGGGAGAGTATTTGTCTTGGCCCCATGTGTAAAACAAGATAATGAGAAAGAGATGTAGCAAGAAAATTTACATTCAAGTAAAAATGAAATGCTAAGTGTACCATAGGGGCAGGTCAATCATTTTTTGAGCATGTTGGCAAGATTCCCAACGCTAATGTACACAACAGCAAAGTATAGTCAACTCACAGTTTTGTATAACATTTAAAGCTGGGACACCTAACTTGGACACCTAATCCTAACCTTAATTTATGAACCACTAACACAGTAATTTATCTGACTGGTTTCTAGCACAGATTGCTTTACTAAAAGATTTCTATAACTGTATATTTCTGACCAATATATCGATAATCGCCATAATGTGATATAATCGTTATCGTGAGCTTTATATCGCGTATCGTATCGTGAGGTTCCCTGAGGTTCCCACCCCTAATATAAATGATAATAATAATAATACTTTCTCCCAACATGAAGTAAGAGAGGAACTATTATTATTAAAGAAAGTTTGGTGCCCCAGCTTTGATAGATTTATCTCACACTATAGCATGGTGATAAAAATATGAATATTTCCACAAATGTCCACAAATATGACTAATTCTTAGGGCCCATTCCTGTCTCATATTAAAAACAACATGAAGCAAATTCACATCGCAAAAGCCATAGCTGTACAAGTATTATCCATAAAGGCAATATTCCCGCTGGTGGAGTCTGATTGAAGCCTGCAGGAAGCTAAACTTTGGTACACATTCCATTTTTGATCATGTTTCCAGAGTCACATGTCATTGAACTGGATTTTCTATTATTCATATGAAGGAAACATTATCAAATTAATACCTGCTGTGAATTTTCCAGGCGGTTCTGTTTAAGGTAGGTATGTAACAAAGAAGCTTTTATATTGAGACACAAAGCTATGGCTGATATATTCTCACTGAGCAAAGAGCTGTAAATGTCATCATCCCACTCGTGCACCATTCAGACTTATACTACTGTTGTCATGTGATGAAGTGAATGAAGACCCAAAATTGCAGGATTGCCAAAAATAAGGGTTTAATGATAAAAAAAAGTCCAGATGAAACTCAAAATGCAAAACCAAAACAGGACCAGGAACAGGACGGAAACAGAAACAGACAGAGACATGAACAAGACAAGACAGGACGTTGACAAGACAATGGACCATGCAGCACAAGGGGAGAGGAGCACAAGGTACAAATAGACACACACACGGGTGAAACACATCAGGGCGGGGCATACAATCAAGACAGGGGAACCAGGACAGGAAGTCAAACTAAAACTAATTCACAGATAACAGACGTCAAAATAAAACAAAAATACAAAAATCAAATCCACACCATAACAACTGTAGATTATTCTGGAGAAGGGTCTACATACATACACCAGCAAGGAGACTCTGACTGCACTGATCCATATACTTTTCAAATCTTAAAAACTATTTTAGATATATAGATACATGATTTCTCTATCTATAAAGATGTTCTTTCTTCATCAATGCCTTAAGCCTTGCCTTTAACTGAATGTGCACCAGTTTCAGTTCTACTTGATAAAAGAAACGAGTGGGTATAACATCTTCTGAAATCAAACATGTTATTTGAACTCTGAAAACCAGTCACATTGAGTAAAGAATATGCAGAAGAGTTTCCAGATTTATGTTTTGTTCTTGTTAATTTGTGGAAACCTAAAACACAAATCAATAGACTTTTGATAACAAAGACACTTCAGGATGAATTTCCAAACAGAATAAAGAAAGAAACATCACAAACACTGTAATTGTGTGTTGTTGTAATCCATTGCAAAATTGAAATTGAAATAATATTTACTGACAAGTTCACACATCTACTAAAATAAAGGGATGGGCCGTGGAAGAGTGATGTCACACGTAGTGGAAGACGCCCAATCCACAGGTTTCCAAGATGGTGGATTGGCGGTCCATTCAAGTCAATGGCCCGCACTCATTAGCGCATGCTCAAAGTTAGCTGCCCAAAAATGTAGTTCTTGACTAGTTCTGGTCATCTCAGGTGTGCAGTAGGCCTGCAGTGGTGCTACCTCCAGGATGTTTTGCATCATGTAGACGTGAGGAGGACTAGTTTATTGCACCAAACTCATGGTTTCAAAAGAAAAAACAGTTCATGAAGACATAACAGACTTCAGTAAAATCTTCATAAAATCCGACCTTTGTATTTGCTGTTGGCTCGTGTGAGCTGGTTTTGTAAACACTGGTTTTCGGGAACATTTCTCATGAAATTTATTTGCAGCAGCGAGTGGTCTTTGAGCATGAGCTGGAGAAGGGCAAGAATACCCCATCCAGATATTGATACATCCATGCTTTCTGCCAGAAAAACACACCCGGGAGAAATGTTCACTCCTCCTGCAGTTCATAGTGTCAGCCCTATGTTACTAAGTCCCGCCCCCTTTGTGCACCACTCTTGTTCTCAAAGTCAAATCTGAGTAAAGTAAAAAAGTAAACCTTTTACTCTCAAGTTTTTGAGTTTCGGAGACTAAAGCTGAGTCTGTGAAACGTGTTGCTAACAATTTCAAGTTTGAGAGACAGACAAAAAAATTGAAACATGTAGATTGTATGATCAATATGTCACCACACAGCTGAATATCCCCAAGCAGGCTTTTAGACTTTTATTAGAAATCATAAATAAATCAGAATTCCTGAAAATGTATGGGATTTTTTTGCAGCTCCACACTTGCCCCACTCTCATGGTGTCTTTGTGCAAAACAGGGGAACATTTTATGATGACGTAGTTATTTAACAAACTGTTTTATTATGTCCCAAGCCATATTACTTATTTTTAATCCATTTACATTTTTTAAAGGAAATGGGGGTGTATCTTTTGTTTATGTTGACTTCACCTGAACAATCCTGCTTCCTGCGGCGCTGTAGTAAAGTGACACCATAGGTATATTTAGACAGAAGTAGCTGTAAACCATCTGCCAACCTTGACACCTAGAACTCTGAGAGATGGATGATGCTACGGTATGTCAACTGAACCCTTCTACAGGCCAGAAACAAAAGTGATTTTCTAAAACTAGACAGGCAAAATATTCTGCATTGGTCACGGTTTATAGGCGTTGAAATGTTAGCAGCTTGTGCGGCTGAGACTCTAAAGTGTATTTTGACAGGAAAAACGTGAGACACAAGTGCAAACGGAATCAAGACGTTTAGATGAAAGTGCTAGTCATCAAAACACTCACCAAAGATATTTCAAACGTGTCATTTGGGAGAGATGGGGAAAAGCGAAATACTGTTATTGCATTACCAGAGAAGCTTTTATCACTCAATCTTCAAACACCTATCGTCAAACCAGTATTTTCTTTATTTTCAACAAGATTGAGTGTGTCTTTAAAAAATGAAAATAGTTTCATAATATATATTTTCTACATGTTTTTTGTTTAGGTTTGTAATACAGTGAAATCATGACAATATTTATAATACTATATCAACTTAAAATGGAGCTGTGAAGTGAGCGGAGCTTTCTAGCAGCAATAGTAAAATTCCCCATACATTATTATTATTATTTATTTTTTTAAGAACTGGGGCTGATAATTATATAATAATAATTATGCTAATTTGTTGACACGTTTCACTAGATTATACCTTTTATATTTGCTTTTCGTGGCTGAAACAAGATCCAGCTGTGGAGAGTAGTTACCAGGTAGCGAGTGAACCTCCATTGTGTTATATTGTACTCCAATGTTATATTTAGATTTTTTGATTCTCTTATGGGGAAGCTCCAGCCACTTCACCGCTCCATTAAAAGCTTGAATAGTACATTTACAATAAAGAAGAATGCTTATTGGCCCCTTATTTAGCCCCATTTCCACCAGCCCGACTTGGCCCTAATCCCTAATCCACTCAGCTCTACTCTACCTGTTTCCATTTCCATTACGCTATAGCAGCCATTCCCAAACTCAGTAACACCGAGGCCCCCTTAAAAATCTGACGGGTCTGCGTGCCCCCCCAAAATAATAACCAAGAAGACAACATTAGGAATAGGCTCTTCTGGTTATTTTATTTTGGGGAAATAGCCTCTGCTACAAACATTGTAATACAAAAATGATTACAGTGGATTATTCAAGTCAAATAATGAACACAAATATTTTAATATTACAAACAAAACATTATAAATTTAACATTAAATAATAATATTATTTTTTTTATTTTTTTTATGACCTCCCGCGGCCCCCCTGCAGTACCCTCGCGGCCCACCAGGGGGCCGCGGACCCCACTTTGGGAGACACTGCGCTATAGTATCTATACTGTATTCTTGCAAACTACCCCCAACAAACCAGTATTCAGGAAAACTCCTTGGTAGCCTTGGCTTCCAACAGCAATCAGGCCAATCTCTGTCAGTTAGAACACTTAAGTGCTAGCTTAGCCTAAGTAGAACCAGGGCGAAGCAGGCACCAAAATAGTACCTGGTACCAGTTAAACAGGGCAGGTGGAAACGCTCTCACTTTGGGTGGAATAAAGCTGCGTAGATTTAGTAATGTAGGGCTAAGTTGGGCTGGTGGAAACAGGACTTTAGAAACATCTTGAGAAACACTAATTTTGTAGTTTACCGTAAAACATTAACCCCTAAATATTGTACATTTTGCTCATTGTGCATCAGTCACTACATCTACAATCATAGAAGTAAGTATATTTATATTATCTATATAGCGCATTATACAGACCAAGGTCACCTAGAGCTTTACAATGTTCAGAGTTCAGATATTGTTCCAATCATTCCACACACGGTGATGACGGAAGCGAGTTGTCGAACACACTGACGCTTCAAATCCCCCAATGGACACCATCCATTCACTCTCTCATTGACATTCATACTTACTTCTGCATATTTTTAATGGTAGAGGAAACCGGAGCACCCGGAGGAAACCTACGCAGACACAGGGAGAACATGCAACCTCCCCTCAGAAAGGCCCTGTTCCAACCAGGATTTGAACCCAAGACCCTAATGCTGAGAAGCCACTGTGCCGCCCAAGAAAAATCAGCATTGTCCCTATGTCCACATGTCCCTTCATTCTGGAATATTCCCAAAGGCCCTGAAAACTGCAGTCATCAGGCCCCTGCTAAAAAAGAGCAGTCTCGATGCTACGGTACTTAACAACTATCGTCCCATCTCAAATCTGCCATTTATGGGGAAAGTCCTTGAAAAAGTTGTCTACCTACAGCTTACTAGATTTCTTATAATCAACAACTCATTTGATATGTTTCAGTCCGGCTTTAGACCCCACCACAGCACTGAGACTGCTCTCGTCAAGGTTACAAACGATATCCGGCTGAACACTGACGCAGGCAAAGTCTCAATCTTAATCTTGTTAGATCTAAGTGCTGCCTTTGACACCGTCGACCATGAGATCCTCTTACAGAGATTAGAGGACTGGGTTGGAGTCGCTGGCACCGCCCTAAGTTGGTTTAGGTCTTACCTTGAGGACAGGAAGTACTTTGTGGAGATTGGAAACTGTTGTCTCAGATCATATGGCCCTGACCTGTGGAGTCCCACAGGGGTCGATCCTGGGACCTCTTCTGTTCAATCTCTACATGCTGCCGTTAGGTCAGTTAATACGCAGAAACAAAGTTTCCTATCATAACTATGCAGACGACACTCAGATCTATGTCTCACTGACTGCAGGAGAACATGGACCAGTGGACTCACTCCTTCACTGTATCCAACAGATCAGTGAGTGGATGCAAAACAACTTCCTTCAGCTAAACGCAGACAAAACTGAAATGATTGTCTTTGGTCCCCAGAAACAAAGAGAGAGCGTCATCTGTCACCTACAGTCTCTCTCCCTAAAACCTTCAAACAAGGTCAGAAATCTAGGGGTAATACTGGACTCAGACTTAAATTTTAATAGCCACATCAAATCAGTAACATCAGCAGCTTTTTACCATCTAAAAAACATTGCCAGGATCAAAAACATAGTGTCTAAAGCAGACTTGGAGATTCTTATCCATGCATTTGTCTCCAGTAGGTTAGACTACTGCAATGGCCTGCTCACAGGTCTGTCCAAACAGGCTGTAAAACAGCTGCAGTACATTCAAAATGCAGCAGCTCGAGTCCTGACTAGAACCAGGAAGTACGACCATATTAGTCCGGTCCTCAGGTCTCTGCACTGGCTTCCTGTGGCTCAGAGAATAGACTTTAAAACAGCTCTGCTTGTGTACAAGTCTCTCCATGGCCTCGCACCAAAATATATTAGTGACATGTTAGTCCCATATGAACCAGCCCGGACTCTGAGGAGCACAGGGACTGGACTCCTGTTAGTGCCCAGAGTCAGAACTAAACATGGGGAGGCTGCTTTTCAGATTCATGCTGCTAAAATCTGGAACAGTCTTCCTGGAGATGTGAGACAGGCCTCCTCTCTGACAATGTTTAAAACCAGGTTAAAGACAGTTCTGTTTAGCTGTGCATACAACTGAGGGATTTTATATTTGTATCTTTCTTTTTAATGTTCTGTGATTATTTATGATTTTAATGCTTTCTTGTTTTGTTCAGCACTTTGAATTGCCTTGTGTATGAATTGTGCTATATAAATAAACTTGCCTTGCCTTGCCTTGCCTATACAGTATATACAGTACAGTCTATTTGTATGCGCTCTATACAGTCTGATTGAAACAACATCTCTTCCCAGGTATTTTGCTGAGTATAGAGGGACAGGGGGAGGAGACGGGACCCTCCCAGACGACCTGCCCATGGTCCATAGGCACGAGACAGCCCCACTCACAGAGGCGCTCAGAGTCAGACGGAGAGCAGCCAGGGAGGAGGTCAACAGGTGCCCAGTGGAGTGCAGTCCTTCAGCGACAGTTCAGTGAGGCTCAAGGGTAAGAAGGCTTTACTGTTAGAATTTTACGGTTTAGTACGAGTAACATCCTTCTGGAACTTAGAAGCATTTTTATGATAATTTTCAATAACGAACAGCGCAGAAGGTTTCAGAGGTAAAACAGTTGTGCCTCTTTTTCTGGTTTGTAAAATGTTGGTCATAGTATTGGTGAATGAATTGGCAAGGTTTGGCTTTCACTCTATTTTTACTGTAACAAAATCTTTAAAAATCCACTCCAAGATATATATTTATCCTGTTTTTGTATCACTGTGATACATAAATTGTCTGGTTCATGAACAATAAAAGTCTTTCTCATTGGAGGCTTTGAATTCTGCGCAACTTTTTCCTTTTTTCTTCTGTACTTTGGTTGGTTCCTACACCCTTGTTTCAATTTTGATGTTCATGTTTATGTTTCTTCAGTGCTTTACACATTTTTACCATAATACTGGAAAGACCTTATTTCCCTACAGAACCATGCTCTGTTTGTGGGATCTGTACTGTGTTTTTTTTCAGGCGAGTTTTCACTTAATCTGTTTATTATTTTTGGGGAATTCATTTGGAGTCTTAATTAAAGCTGTATATTTGTGCTTTCCTGTGCTGATTTCTCTCCTCTTAACCTCCATCTATCGCCACCTCTGCCTTTTATCACCCCCAATTTTGACTCTACACCTGGAATTTATCACGTGTCACATCATTGGAGCCATTGTACGAAATGTATTATACGGCAAATGAAAAACCAGCAGGGGTTCAAGTTTCAGATGGTAGTAGATGAACATTGCAGATTTTATGATTATTTGAAAGGGTCTGATATGGTGAGAGGAAAATGTGGAAATGGCTGTCAAGTGTGAATGATGGGCTGAACAGAAAGCAGGAATATCACATGCCGTTTTGCCGTCACAAAACCGCAGGGAAAAAAAATAGGTTTTATTGTGCACTGTGATAATATTACTGAATAAGTGGAGTTTGTCAGACCAGTCAATGGGAAGTTTTACAGTCGGAATAGTGTATGCTGCTTGAAGTGACATTAGTGTTAGTAGTACATTTCGGTATAGAAAATTTAAATTCCACAGCATCAAAATGGTTTTAAATGGGTTTGTCATAGCAAGAAGAGTTTGAAAACCGAGCCTATGCACATCTAATCTTGGGCATACTTGTAAGAAAGATCCCTCTGAGAGACTATTTGACGCTTTGGGAGATGGTTGGCATAAAAATCTGAAATGTGGATTGAAAGTTAGATACCCCACCTTCAGATTATCTATATAATAAGACATTATTATCCAACTTTGGCCAGTATATATTATTGTTACATTTATTTATGGGCTGAATCAATCCCAGAATTAAATCATAATCCTCCCATGACTGTCTGGACAATAATGCCAAGTGATAACTTCCCTCTGCGACAAGTATTTGGGCATAAATATTGATGAACAGTCTTCTGGGTGACAGGTATTCACACGGGGCCCCGATCCAGGAGATTTACTTTAATGCTACTGTGCTGGCGAGGGGACTCCTCAGAAGCCTGGATAAAATGAGCTGCAGATGTGGGCCCACTGCCATGCCAAAACACACACATTCACACACACGACAGACAAAGAGTGGGTGGCTGCAGTTGCATAACGAGACTGCTAAGATTATAGAAACCTTTCCGATCTGTTTAATGAAGCATGTTGGACTCAAAAAATGAATTATGTCACCATGAACGGAATACTATTATAAAATATTGGGGATGGAGAAGCCCGGTTCTGGACTATAGGAACCACACAAAGTTACGTCATGACCAGCACTTATCTTACTGCGGTCCCTCACTATAACACAGCTCACCTTCTTCTTGCTGTTTTGCAGATTCTTTGTTTGCAATTTTGTGGGCTTGTTTTACACCGTGCTTCCCATGCGCTGTATGTATACTCAAACAAAATCATAAAATCGCTAGAATAACATGACAGTTATCTTTATTGAAATTCAGAGGACAGCTTTTTTGGCTTGTGTGCCTCACGGTGATTAGTTCAGAGGACGACCACGGTCTTACCAAAGCCGTCACTCCTGCCCCTGAGCATGAAGGCCTCTGCAGATGTATTTCACAGTGTATGCACGGCTTTCGACAGCTGCAGCAGCACTCAGACTTTAACAATGGTTTCTCTGTGAGGTTTCAGTGTGTAAATGTTTGGTGAGGGATTTTACAGCCTTAAAACCTACACCTGGGTTATTTTTTAGAATGCACCCCCCACAATAAACAAAAGACCACCGTATACATTATATTTCATTTATTTGTTTTGTTTAACATTATTTTAAATCCCTTGAATCTTAAAGCTCCTCACAGTCTTGCCCCTTCATATATTTCTTATAAAATTGTGATTCATGAACTTGCTCCATGCACCTTCTTGTCGTTCCTTAATTGTGTCAAATTGAAAATAGTAGAAGCAGCCTCTTTTCATTATGCTCCTTGTAAATGGAATGCTCTGCCTAATTTCATCAATGTGCTCTGATGTTGGGCTCATTTAAGTCTAAACAAACGACTCTTTTGTTCAATACGTTTCTTTTCAGTATATTTGTCAATGTGTCTCTCTCAGTAAAATCCCATACTGTAATTTAAGCAGATTGAGCTGTAGATTCTGTATAAAATGTGCTCTACGAATAAATCTTCATCTTCTTGCAAAAAGGGCTGATTCAATGTAATGTTTGGCTTAATGTAATCCCCTCCATCCCCTCAGTACAATGTTTTGAAGAGAGGGAACTCCCTGCTCTGATCTGATGTTGTCCTCTTCTGTCCTAATTTGGTAAAGCATCATTCTTTGGGATCCTCTACGTGAATATTTGGTGTACACTTTTGTTTTGGACTTCCCATCAATGTAAAAAAAAAAAAAAACTGTAAATATTGTTTTGAAGATGAGATAACATGAAGCATATTGTTTATTAGCAATCAAAAGTTACAAATAATGAAACATTTGTCACATTTTGTGTCTACCTCTTTGGGGCATTTCACTTAGTTTTAGGCACTTTTACCATCAAACTGCATCTCAACTATAATTTTGATATAATTAAAAAAAACAAAAGAAACCGAGGGGTTAAAAAAACATGAAAAAATATTGTTGTTATTAGTGCCCCAACATCTGAGAGAATCCCAAAAAGAAAAAAAAAATACCTTGCTTTCTTCAAAGAGTGAACATTAAAGGGTTAAGCAGAAGGTCAGGCCATGCATACTTGTTTGGCTTGGTGATAAAAATCTTCTGTCCAATTTTACACATTTAGTGATTTATTCTAAACACACACATTCCCACACTATGTCTCAGAATGTAAGTGTTGATGAGTCAGATACATCAAAAAAAACAAAAACAGTAAAACCCAGCAGAGCCCCAGAGGGAGATTGAGTCCGTTACATTTGCTTTCCAAACACAAACACATATACGCTTTCAAAATAATTATCTTGACTTATAATCTGGTAATGGAAAAAAAAAAAAACATGTCAAACCGCACAAGCAAGGGCCAAACATGATGAAAACTACTGCCGTGCACAAACCCACACATAAAACACATCTCTGCTTTTGTGGCTGACTCCTTCTTATCCTCCACTTTGTTGTTGTGGTCCACTGAGATTTGCCTTGAGTTAGAAGTTTCAGAAAACAGCCGGCTTTGTGTTTGATGCCTGAAAACGCTCCAGGGACGAGAGAAAAGATGTATGCTGTCTGACAACATCTTCTCCCTCGTGTTTGTCCAGCTATACTTACTTATTATGATCGACTTTTAACCTTGTTCAATCGACATTTTTCCGCAACTTAAACATCCTTGAAGCTGTCTGGTTAATATCAGGACTATTCAGCAGCACATACTCCCAGTACGCTCTGTGTTGAATCTTTCCAATCAATCAATTGTTATTTCTAGAGCGCCTTTCATACATAGGGCAACACAAAGGGCTCCACAGTCCACAAGGCACAATTCATCACATATAACAAACAGCAAAATCAAAGTTTAAAACAGAATTCAAAATCACACTGGTAATTAAAATCATCAAATCACCATTAAACATATCAAAAATAACCACAGTGCATTAAAAATTGTGCTAAAATTGGTCAGTCCAATCCGTTATAGACAGAGCTGCATGTTGTATTGTCCAATATAGTACATTTTATAAACCAAAAAGTCCTGCTCAGGAGAAAGATTAAGAGATCTTTTATTCGTCCCACAGCGGGGAAATGTCAGTGCTGCATCAAAAGTTACAGAACAGTAGGAATGAGGAGCACACAGCACAAAATAAATATAACTATACTGATTAAAATACAACATAATTTCTAACTGTAGCATCAAAGAAACAAGTATAAAATCTCCATCTTGAACATAATGAAGAAGTAATTATTTTTTACTTTTACAAGGAGGTGGCAGCAGTGAGCCTTTGACTTCACAGAAAGAAGGTCTTGGGGTTTGCATGTTCTCCCCATGTTGGTGTCAGTTTCCTCCAGGTGCTTCAGTTTCCCCATCCACTGAAAACATGTACAATGTGCTGTGCTGCCGTCACTGTGTGGAGAGAGAGAGAGAGCCCAAAAGAAAAGTGAAACGCTTTGTAAGTCTGTCCCTGAAAGGTGCTATAGAAATACAGATGACTAACTTTCTACTTACTAAAAATCCCGGAAATAAAAACAAGAATCATAGTCAGACTGCCTCTTGAAAGATTTTGTATTGTCTGTTCTTTTGGTCTGTGTTGATTTGGACCTTGAGTTTGTATTAATAAATAAAGTTATCTATCTATTTACAGTGATCATGACCCAAGTCTGCTACATAAGTGCATCCATTCATTCACCCATCCATCCATTTTCTTCCCCTTAAAGCTGCATTACTTGACTTTTTTATTTGTATTCATTACAAAAATTCAATCCATATCCATGCAATGCATTGGGATATATGTCTTTTTGAGGTATAAGTAGCGCTGGTTTGTGCTGGCGTGTCATTTTATTTTAGATCAAATTTTTGTGAAACAAGGAAGACAATTTGTTTCCGGTCCAGATTGTGACC